TAATCTCTTCCTTATAGCGATTAAATACAGTTACGAAATGCGGAGACTTGTTCTTGCAGGTTCCCATCATTTATTCATTTAGGTTTGATTCTCGAAAAGCCATACCAGAATTTTCTTCTCTATTCTGAAAATATATTGAAATTAAGTCCAATGAGAATCTTTGAACTTGCCTCTTTGGCAGCAAAAAGAGAGTTTAAAGTAAAAACGTGATATATGAGCTGTGTTCACTATTTATTTTTCAGGTGGGGAAGGACTGGCAGTTAAGTTTCCCGCGATTATATGTGTAGACATGACGTTCCCATTGAATTTCGCATAGTCTTGCTTTCCCAAAAGGTATTCTCATCCAGGGTGGACTGCAGTTTCGACCCCGCCTAGGTCTAATCGACACCGCTAGCGGGACTCGAGGCATGACAGTGCAGTATATAATCTCGACGCGTTAACCACAAGGCCACATTCCCATGAGTGCTATATCTACCCTATGACCTAAGGGCAGTATCGAGATTATACGCTGCACCGTCATGACTCGAGTTCCACCAGAGATGTTGATAAGGTTTAGGCGAGGTCGAAACTGCAGTCCACCCTGGATGAGAATACCTTTTTGGGAAAGCAAAGCTATGTCAAATTAAATGGGAACACCATTTCGTGGTAAAATTAAACTACCAGTCCTTCCTTACCTTTGAACGAAAATAGGGTGAACACAGCTCATCTTTTTTACTGGAAATATCTAAAATGTACTCTAATTGAAAAACAATGGTTTATGACTGCAGCGTTTCCGTTTCTCCAGTTTTCGTATCTATCAAGAATTTTATTTTAAATTATTCTATTTTTCAGCAATTTTATTGGCTCTTGGCAACTAAGCTTATTGTTGCCAAGGCTCAGTCATTCATTAGAATGGAATGGGTCCATCTACGAGCATTTGAAGCCATATTTAAGCTAAGAAACTTATTAGGAATTGAAATCTGATCTGTCTTTTCAGATAAGTATCTTTTTTTATTAATTGGGCCAATGCAATTTGAACTGCGAGAACATATGCTTGGCGAGGCAAGTAAGTCTCTTGTCACCTCGTAGGTATGCTTTTGGATTTGCTTTATTGTGGTGAGCGATTCAGCTCTTGTTTGCATAGGGTCTTCAATTGCCCAATTTTCTTCTGGATTAAGCGGATTACTTATAAGCTGCTCTTTATTAACTAAAATAGGTTCTATTTCGACAATTAGACGGATTTTTGTATTTTCCATATAAAAAAAGGTAAATTCTTCGCCATCTTAATCTTCTGTTTTATCAACGTAATTATTCTTAAAAATAATTGAGCGGATATACTTTAACCGTATCTTGTGATAAACTAGATATTGGCAATGTTTTTTAAGCGATTTATGTATCTTAATCTTAATTCCTTGATGAAACGTGCACATAAATCTAACATAATCTACGCTATATCAAACTGGAAGGAGCCAACCTTTTTATCATAATGTATTCACTTTGCATGCTTAAACATCGCGAACGGAAAACTTTAGAATCCCTTGCACATATGCAACATTTTTTCGCTTTTTTACCTTTAGGTTTTGTGGTGTATTATTGTTGTTTTCGTTAGTTAACTCCTTATTTTCTCCCTTTTATGTGAATTTACTTTAGCCAACCTTGTTCAGCGATGGACCATCCGCACTCAAATCAATGCGTCTTCTTGCTCTTGGTAGCTCTGGAGTCTCACGAGGTCACAGAAGCAAGTTGGAAGTTGGGGATGTTGGCCTGACTGGAGTAAAGTTGCAGCATTCGGAGGACCCTGACTTAGACGCGGCAATTCGCAGCATTCTCGGACCCACTGGCTGATCTTTCACCGAAATCTTGCTTTTCACCACTTCATCTCTCGTTCTCTAGTCTTCCTTATTTCAATATCTTTGAATATCTTCTTCCCTACATTTAAATTTGATTCACATATTTCCCCTTTATTCCTTTTCATTTGTGAATATCGTTATTTGTCGTTATGAACAACTCAACTGTATACTATTACCGCTTATCATATTCTAATTTTACAGATACAATCAGCTAGTATCTTTTGCTCATTGTATGGTTAACCATCCCATTCTGGTGCTCTCCTTCGCTCATTACCCAGCTGCCTCTCATTGTCTGCCTCTTACTCCGTCCTATTAAAAATTTTTTTTTCAGGATTCATTTACTTTATAGGCATAACTCGATGAGTTCGTTTTTGCACCATTTTATCATCATCTTCCTCTACTCTCTTTATGCTTCTTTTAAACTCTCATATACTCCAAAATTATATTCTCCTAATCTTAGCCCCGCTCGTTGCTTTTTTGCAGCTACTAATCCCTTGGAATAGCTATCTGGCCATTTCTTCAGCCAGGTTAAATCGTGCCGTGCGTTCTTTTGACGCATGGTCTCAGTCTGTATATACATATACTCCCATATGTCCCGATAAACCAACCCAACTCATTGGCCGATACTAATCCTCACCTATACAGACAAACCTTTATATTGAAGGATAGACTTTCACTCTTGTAAACTCGTATACACATCCTATCAACTCATTATCGTTTCTACCCTGCTCCACTTGTATCTGATCATTTATAAATTTGACATGCCTCGCAAAAATGTCCCTGTAAAACTAATGCCCCTCCATCTGAATTGTCTATTTGGCCAACTATGTTCATGCACCAATCTACCAAAGTCACATTGTTTTTACCTCAGCATTAAGACGAAAGTTAATTTTCATTGAACAGAGCTGATTAACTGATTGCACACTGGCTGTGTAATTTTTTTTACAGACATTACTAACTTTCTATGTGACTTCTGTTATATTCCATCTCATCCCCCTACTACTTTTCGAGCTCTTCTTTTTTCTTGGCTTCTGATTTTTTCCATTTTTATTCTACAGTTTCACCTGACTATTTGAGTTCTCATCCGCTTTGATTGATGCTTTTATCTTTATAAACCCTCCTATTTTTCCAATTGTCTTACCAAGTATATTTCTGACTTCTCCATTATCAGCAGCTCTTGCCTTAAACACGAAATTTTAGATTTTCCATTGTTGTATCGTCTTTGTACAAAATCAATTGTGTATGTTTCTCATTTTTATGCCTATTCCCGTGACCCTTTCGTATCTTACTGACTGATTCTTTTCTAGCTACTAATATCCTTCAATTCTGAACTGCCCATGTTCACCACACCTCGCCATCTTTCTGGTCGCCTCTACAATACCCCATATCTCCATTTCTATTTTGTGCTAGAAGGAAAAATTAAAGACAATGTCGATATTAATTTTTTTTCGTATTTTCATTTCCGCCTGCATCCTCATAATCTTGGTCCTGGCCTCTTCAATCAAGACAACC